TCTCATTGGTCAGTCGTTTCACCAAGCACGTGAGAATCATTGAACCTGGATTTGTGTTTATAATTTCCTACCTGTCCTACCTCACAGCAGAGATGCTTTCCCTTTCTGCTATCCTTGCGTAAGTCTCCTTTTATTACTGTTTGTAATAAAGGGGCTGAGAAGGGAATATGGTTTTTAAAAACATTGAAAATAAAGACCTAAACTATATAGGACAACTATAGAATATGACACTCATGAAGCTTATGCTGAATATTACTCTCTTCACACTGCAGTAGATTACAGTTTGCAAATAATATCATTCAGCCTTTAAAAGTAATTTAAGTTTTCCGCTATCTGCTGTGCAACATGAGAAGTTCCTTTGCAAAGTACAGACTTGACTTTTTCCTCATTGTGTTTAATAACACTTCAATAACTAACAGTTGTCCATTTGTATTGACGTATTTCCCTATAATTTGTAGTTAAAACAATATTTTTCTAAGTCATTATGTGAATGTCCATTATTTGCTGGTCTCACTATCATGACTGACCTGTTGAGGTTTGCCTGAATCTTGCCTGTTTTGGCTTGATTACCTCTGTATCTTTCTTCTTTTAGTATTCATTGATTCCTGGCAACCTGTCTTCTCAGGTTTTTTTGTATTGTTTGTAGATGCTACAATGAGTATAGTCAAGATCTGAAAATATTACTGCAAACAGATAATTGGTTTAAGATTATGTCTAATGTAAACAAGATTTAAAATTTTGCATGTAAAGCAGTATGTAAGTTGAAGATATTTAAGGTTTGTTATAATTTACTGAATTGCTGTCTTCAGACCTCCTGGGGTCACCTCAGGATGAATGTTTGAGATATGCTTTTTACCTAGATTAGACTCCGCAATGGCTTCTGAGTGTATTTTTTCTTAGGAATTAGTGGTGGGTTTTTTCTCTATGTGACATGCAGATGGAAATAATATTAAATGTTACAACAAATATTTTCTGAACAATTGCTTCTTTTTTTTTCTAGGATAACTTTCTGTGGCATCTGCTGTCAGAAATATGTTAAGGCCAACATATCTGAGCAATCTTCTACGACTGTAAGGTATACCATGAAAATGATGGCCAGTGGAGCAGAAACAATCATCTTCATGTTCCTGGGAATTTCAGCTGTAAATCCAGATATCTGGACTTGGAATACAGCTTTTATTCTGTTGACTCTGGTCTTCATTTCAGTATATAGAGTGATTGGTAAGGGAGTGATCTTCTTCCTGTCCTTGCATCGTATTATTGATGCAATCACACATACTTTTGCAAAAAAAAACAACTAACAAAACAAAAAAACCCACCCAATCAGCAAACAGACAAAAAGAGTTGTTAATTTTAAATTATTCCATTTATTTTAGTTGAACTTATGGTTGCTTTTGGGTTAGGAGGGTGTATCTCTACAGTAAGATTCATCGTATGCTGAAAATATACTAGGATTTCACTTCTGATGCCATGTGAGGACATGACTAGCCCAGGGGCTAACCTTTGTTGACCTAGCATATGGTATTGGCAAAATCTCCTGATGAAATGGACTTTGTTCTTTGACTTGCAGCCTAACAAAAGACGTGAGTCCTGCCAGCCATCTCTTTCCTTCAGCTCTTTCAATTTGGTAATAAAGAGATTGTCTTAAGCTAATTTTATGGTTAACCTCAGGTTTGAGACACACAGTGATGTAAGACCATACATAATTACACTGTAGGTTCTCTGGCTTAAGAAATAATTCTTGGGCACTGGTGAAAAACTGAGTAAATAAGACTGTGACAGGTAGGGATTACTTACTGTCAGTTTACTGGGTTTATGTAAGTTTGCAAACATTTCAAAATACCAGTGACAATTTGCTCAGCTACGTAGTTCTGTTATTTAATCACCATTTTGTGAAACAGCAAAGGGGCTAAAAACAAGAAAAAGGCATAGAATGCAGTACTTCTTGAGAGTAACACACACGGTGATTTAGTGTGTGTGCTTACCTCTAGGAATAAATTAAACAGGTTTATTTGCCTGTTTGTCTTGAATTATATTAAAATAAAAGATAGCACATCTAGCTAGCTGGCAGTTTTCCTAGACTCTGTATACTTATTCTGTCTAGAGAATCCTGGGCTGAATGAAGGGCCTAATCCCATGTCCTCCTTTCTAAATAGTCTGTAACCATTGTTCTTTTAGCCACCTAAGTAACTGCTGATGTGTGTGAGCTGTTTAAACAAGTTTTCAGTATCTTGACTTTGTCAGTTGTATACCCGGAATGAGCGGTTAACAATCTTATAACAAGTGTAATCAATCATTAAATAGTAAAAATTGAGCAGTAACAATATACATCCATTAAAGAAATTGAGCTTAGACATTGATAAATTACTAAAGAACTGATGAAATTTAGCCTTACCTAATTCCAGCTCTCATAGGCTAATAGGAGTCAGAATAAATTAATTTTTGAGGTCCCCTCCACCAGAGGCCTTGCTTACAGTGATATACACAAGGCACTCTTCCTTAAGCACAACTTTGAAGTTCTCTAAAATGAGAAATCTCGCTTTTGCACTGGCTAACAGTCCTGGCTTGCTGCTGTGTGACACATATGCTGTGCTACTTTCAGGAGCAGTGAAGCTGTTTTCCTTCTGTATGGTGGGAGTTCTGGGAGACATTGTGACTTCTAGAGCTTTAGGTCTCTTACAGAAGGCAGCATCTCACCTCTAGTCCTGAAGACAGCGTTAGCATAACTACACAACCCTCCATAAGATGATGACACAAATGTAATTTTGAGTGTTTTGTAAAGAGTGCCACACTTACTACTTAAATCAACGTTGTTTCAGTCTGTTCCTCATTCCACTAAAAGATGCTATGCCTATCATTGGCTATGGTGCTAGCAATTCTGTTCTTTCTCAAATGCGAAATTCAAAGGTCAGCACATAGCAGAATTTCACCTGTAGTGCCTGTGCCAGAGGACAGCACTCTCAGAAGACCTGCTGGCTCACAGTAGAAGCTTCATCTAATTCCTCTGGCTAAACATAAATAAGAAGGTACCAAGCAGGCCTGCCCTCCTTGGCAGTGTAGCAATACAGAGGGAGGAGTAAATAGTGTAGAGAACTTGTTAGGGAAGCAAACTAGGGGTACCATTTCTGTTACACACGGTTGGGACATTGACATTTCATAAGGGCATTTCTAGACATACTGGCATTTGTTTTTTACAGGTGTAGCTTTACAGACATGGATTCTCAACCACTACAGAATGGTCCAGTTGGAGATAATAGACCAGGTGGTGATGTCATATGGTGGACTACGTGGAGCGGTTGCTTTTGCTCTGGTTGTACTTCTGGATGTGGACAAAGTGAAAGAGAAAAACCTGTTTGTCAGCACAACTATAATTGTTGTGTTTTTTACTGTTATTTTCCAGGTAATTCAACATCTTAAGCACAGTTCTTGCAAGGAGAAGGCATTCCCCAGAAGTACTGAACGCTTAAAGCAGTTCTTAGCCGAAGGTTGCATATTGTTTCAATGAACTGAAAACATAATTGAATTTATAATTTTAGTAACAAAGATCCTATTTTATGTTTTCATATGGCACCACAAGGGACAAAACACAATTTGCTCTGTGCTAAAAATGTTCAGTCTTAGCTGCTTGGTATTAATAGTGCTCATGTTAGTATCTGATTAAACATCCTTCACCTAATGTGAGTAACTATGGAGAACAGTCTCTTTTACGGGCAAATACAGTCATTAAGCTGATCTACCTAAGCCTAAGTCCTTGTTTTAAAATATAACAGTAAGCAGTGGAACATATTTATCATCCAAACAAAACAGTGCTTTCCAGCTGACAAAAACCCCATTAATTTAAATGAAGATATGTCAGTATATACCAGCTTGGAATATTTTCTCAAATTTAACATATAAAGTTTAATTGTGGTCACAAATTCCTGATAAGTGCATAAAATACCACATTCAGCGGTATAGGAAACACTTTAACCCTTCCACTACCATATTTTTCTTATAGAAGACTTTTTTCTACTGGTTGATGTCTTTTCAAACATTTGTAACAGGAGCTGAGGGTACTGCATCCTTTTATCTTCTAAAGGGGACAGAGATCAGCAGAGGAAGTATGAGAATCACCATAAAACATACAAAAATACTCTATTTGTCTTGAGCAATGACCAGCTGGAGAAAAGTCTAAGATAATTCCAAAGTATTTTTAACATATTTCAATCCTTAGGGACTGACTATCAAGCCCTTGGTACAGTGGCTGAAAGTGAAGAAAACTGAACACAGAGAGCCAAAACTGAATGAGAAACTTCATGGAAGAGTAAGAGATTTTAAACAAAATTATATCTTTTGGATATTTACAGAGTGTTTTACGAGAAAAAAAATCATTAGAGAAAATTTATTTTTGAAAGGGAGGGGAGAATCAAATTTCAAGTGCAAAATCTTTCAAAGATTTCAGAAGTTATCCGTAGGCTGTAATTTATCTTGGGGTTGAGTCCTGTGAGGAAATACTCAACTGAAGATTCTGGTCTTTCACTTGGGAATTCAGTGGGGCTGACAGTACTGGGGAAACAGCACAGCTGGAATATGCTTCTTTCTCTTCATCTAAAAGAGGAAGACGTTTGATTGAAGGTCACTAGGGCAAAGCATGTGGAAGTAAGATTGTATTTCCTCCTTAAATTTTGTTTGTTTATAGAGTAGATATGAAAGTAGACTTTGTAGCTTGCATGTCAGATAGAAAGGTAGCTGCTGCCCAGTGCAGATGCTAATTATATACTGAAATTCCAGATTAAAAGTGATAGGTTTAATTCAGTGTGAATGCTGTGCATGTCTGCATTTCTTTAACCCTTTAAAAGATTTTGAAACATGATGTCTTCCAATTCACTTTCACACAGTGTTGTAAAGTTTTAATTCAGTAAAAGAGAACATATGTTTACAATATAGGTTAAAGGACAGTAGACTATAAGACACGTCTTTCATGGCCTTTTTTAATTCATAAATTTTGCAGATTTACACAGCTATCCTGCATTGAGTATTTTTACACATTCTTGTATGAGCTTCTGATCTAGTCTGTTTTCACATTGAAGGTTACCTGAAGTGACAGACAGGGTTTTTTTCTGAGGAATCTTTTTTCATACTACTGAATAAATCCATTATGATTTTGTTATCCAGCAGTTCAAATTTGCATTTCTGTTCAAATATTTTACTATTGGAAAATCAGGATTCTTCCCCCTGGTGAAGAAATACAGTCTGTCTACATTTATGGGATATACATGTCAGTTAATACTGCAGGCTGAGCAGTAATGTTAATCCTAACACTTTGTAAAGTTGTTTGTACTGATTTACCACTTACTAGAATATTCCAGCAGATATTGCCTGAGAAGCACAGTGCTCTGAACACTGCAATTTATACAGTTCTAGAAGTACTGTCTGTTCTCAGGGAGTAGGAGGGAGACAACTTATTTATAATATCATTTTCTCCACTTCCATGTCAGATGTCTCCTGAGGCAGTAATTAATGTTATATTCAGGAATAATCCAAATCATCCATGTTGTTCTAAACCTTGCATGCTGCATATTCTACAGTAATCACTCTGATGTTCAGAGGAAAAAAAAAAAGGCAAAATTCTACCTGCAGCTGCCTTGATTTGAATTAACAGTTATAAACCTCAGGATTTCTATCAGTCATCTAATATATCCAGTATGGAATTTTGCCCTAGATATCAGGAGGATGATGCCTACTTCTGCTCTAAGGGAAGTATGGATTCCTGGAAAGGCTAAAAAGAAACACTAGGGCCATTTTTAACTGATTTAATCAGTGACACTAATAGTGGCTGATGTACTTCATAGGGCAGAAATGCAAGTGATAAAAAGAGTTGATAGAGTCTTAAAACTGAATGCTAATATGGGAGCTTAAGTACCTTCTTGCTGAGACCCTTTTAATTAAAAAATAGTTATTGAATTTGTAAAGAAATGGTTAGAAAGCTCACGCCTTTTGAAGAAAAGCATATAGTAGTTAGTATTTCTGTAAATGGGAAAAAATCTGCTTAGTAGCTATAAAATTATTCTACATCATCACATGGTCTATTGTGACATAAACTGAGCTATTTTCTAATTATGCCTTTTATTTCTGTAAAGATATTGATTCCACTTTCACTTTCCTAGGCCTTTGATCACATACTTTCTGCTATAGAAGACATTTCTGGACAAATTGGACATAATTATCTGAGAGACAAGTAAGTAGTAACTAACTTGGAATGTTGAAATACTGCTAGGAAATATCGTCTGTAAGTCATGACTTTTTAAGACTGTGAGTTTAGGAACAGCAAGGATGTCAAATGTAGTTTTAAAAGTTACATGCTAAAAGTACTAGAAATACAGCAAATGTGAAAATATTTTCTTTTTGTCTCCTACAACTACAATATTTTGTGTTACTTTCACAGTTCAGATTAGGCTTTTGCAAATGCCTCAGTTCACATCCAGGGATCAGCTTCTCTCAAGATTCGAAAACTGGCCATTTGCACAAGATTTGACCTAGAATATGAATGTTGGTCCATCTCTGTAATACTCCATTTCATGAGCATTATTTGTGTGTGAAAACACTAAAAAACTTCAACTATGGCTGTGCTAGTTGTTTATCCTATTTCTACAAAGGATGTGTTCAGCAACACTGAAAGCAATGGCAGTGGGTGCTTTGAAACTACTCTGATAGTTTAAGCCTATTAGTCTGAAAGCAATAATCAAAATTATGGATAATTTCCAACCCTCTCTGTTTATAGTTGATTCTCCTTGAGAGAAGAAAAACTACTCAGCTGAAAGATACAGACACTATTTTCTTTAAAGTACACCACTGTGATGGGCAGACTTCCATAATCTAGGTAAATAAATGTGAATTAAAAAAGGGCCATTAAAACTGGACATATTTTAAAGTGTTATTTAAAGTTAACAAGTTCTTCTCTTCCTGGAGTTAGGTCATTTCATAGGTGCAAACAGTCACATTCTGACCTGCTAATGTCCTGCTGACTCAACATGTCAACTCCAACCCAAAAGCCATGTGGTTGTGTTAGCTTTCTGCAGAGCACTCTCCTAACCTTTGCTGAGAAGCTGAGTGTATTAGCTGAGGTTTAGCATTATGCTCATACAACTCCTGGACTGGAGCTAGATTGTATCTGAGCTCAACTAGAAATGCTCACCTGTCTGTACCCCATTATAGGGACAGTCTCCTCCATATCCTTTTGCTCTTTTTCATTTATGCACTGAAGAATTTTCATGAGGCATCCTGAGTAAACTAATCCTTCGGTTCACTTTTGGGGAATGAATTTCAGCAGGCAATAATACAGGGGAATACATTCCCAGTTTTGAAATACTGTTGTGAAGATGGAACTAAATATTTTTAAAGTGGCAGATTAGAGTCTGACTTCTTAGATGTCAGAAAGTAATCTCCTTGAGTAACAAGAGAAGGAGTAGCTTAATGTAGATTCATGGCTGGGTGTGTGGTTTGATGTCTAATGTATTTTGAATGAAGCCACCTTAAGTCTGCTTCTTTTGGACTATACATACATGAAAGTGCTGCTTCCTCAGAGACATGTCAGTCCCTAGCACCCTCACTGATGTGCTCAGGTGCAACAGCCTGAATTTGAAACTGCTTGCCAGATGTTCTGGCTAAAGAAGAGGAACAGTTATCAATTCTGTGAATAATGTTTAACAACAAAATGGTTTCAACAATCTGAAGAAAAACTCATAAACTCAAAATAGCTATTTGGCAAGAGGAAGAGATTTATTTTGAATAATAGTTCCCAAAGTTGTTTCATGCCTTTTAGAGAAAATTGTGAGAATAAAAGTAAAGCAGCCTTTATCTTCTGGAGCCTAAATATGAAATGGCAGCTATCCTACTATCAGACAAGCTTGGAAGTGTAAATGACAGAAAATACACATCACTTCTATCCCCCAGAGTACATAAATGGCTTGAATGAGGCCCTCTGTAAGAGCTTTTGGAAGGGCACTGTTGTGAACCTATTTTCTAGGATGGTTGTCCTACAATACAGCTGGAGAAAAACTGATTCCCTTTCTACAGGAAAGAAAATTAAACTTTTAGAATGAAGCTATTAAATATAACAGTGCATACTCAGAAGTGGAAAAATAAGGAAGCATGATCTCCCAGAGTATAAAATGTCCTAGTGCCTCTGAAATGGGATACTGTAATTATAGCACTCTTTCTGTTGTAGTAGTGTTTGTTAAGTGAACCTATTACATGCTTTGTGGCAGCTGCATAACTCTGTAGCAGGCTTTTCCTTAACTTTATTTAAATGCTAATTTAAAGCTTTCTTTAAAAACTTCAAAACACAAAACCTTCACATTGACATGTTCACCATTTTTTAAAAGTGCTTAGCTCACAAAAATATAATTTATGCTAAATTAAAAATGCTGTGAAACTAAAATTGCTTGTTGCCATTAACACCATTTGTTTAAATTATCAGGTGGTCCAATTTTGATAGGAAATTCCTCAGTAAAGTACTGATGAGAAGGTCTGCTCAAAAATCAAGAGACCAGATCCTTAATGTTTTCCATGAACTCAACTTGAAGGATGCAATTAGCTATGTGGCTGAGGTACTTATGAATACTTATTGTAGTTTTTTTACATTTATAATATGACCTAAAGGTGATATATTGCAAAAGACATCTAAAAGAAAACTATTTTCATTTCTGTACTACTTTTTTTTTCCTAAATGTGTTTTGAGTATCAATATCACTTGTTTGAGTGGATGTTGTTCGGTGTTATACCTGATTGCCAAGTGCGAGTTTATTGTACTTATGTCAGTGTACTTTTCTGTTGTATTATGAATAACTTTGTTTCTATATTCATTGCATGAAAGAATACTGTAATTTCAAAGGGATCAGGCAAACCACTGTCTTTCTAAATGTGTCAACAGAGACTTGCTCGTGCTGAACACTGATTCTAAGTGATGACAAGTCTGGTTCACTTTCAAATCGTGTGGATACATGGCCAAAGTAGTGGACTGCTATAATCTCATTCTGCCAGACCACAGTAATACAAAAAAAATTGGAAAGGGTAACTTCAATTCAATGGAATAGTAACACCCACAATTAAAAAAATTTTTGAAAATTATTTACAACCAAGCAGACTGCTTCCAATGAAACACAGATTTTCAAAGACCAAATTCAGAAAATAAGATGAAATTCAGACATGATGTTACTATGAAAAATGTGGAGTGGTTCACAAGATAAGAAAATACTTCCTTTTGAGATTTTGTAAATTACCCATTCAGGTTCCAGACTATTTGAGCTCAAGACCTAATTTTCTTTCTCATGGTGCTTTCTGGGTCACACCTCAGAGGAAGAAAGTTATATAATGACTTTGATGTTGATGGGTGTGAATCTCATGTTTGGGTTCACTGCTGAATCTACTCAGTAGGTTCATTGCAGTATTTTTCCCTCTTCAACATATGCGAAGGGCTCTGTAGATCACTACGGCTTGCAGATTTAGCTCCATAATCTTTATCCAGTAATGTATTGAATACCATATATTAATGTGAGATTAAGTTAGGTAATTAAATTTTTAGGAGATTTACCTTTTTTGTTATACCTTAGTACAGCTGATCACACAAGGAAACTGACTTTTGCTACCATAGTCCAAACACTATTTGTGTATTTTGTGTCTTACAGACAATTCTATTAGCAGATCTCTACTGATCTGGTAATAATAGACAAAGACATTAAAAGTTCTCCAAGTTCTTGTCCTGGTTTAAGCCCAGCAGGCAACTGAGCACCACACAGCTGCGTGCTCACTCCTCCCCCCAACCCCAGTGGGATGAGGAGGAGAAAATATAACAAAAAGCCTGTGGGTCAAGACAAGGACAGAGAGGGATCACTCAACAGTTATGTTCAGGGGCAAAAAAAAGAGACTCAAGTTGGGAAAAACCCAAAACAATGTAATTTGTTACCAGTAAAATCAGAGCAGAATAATGGGACATACAAACAGATCTTAAAATCAACATCTTCCCCGACCCCTCCCTTGATCCACATCCCAGTGATGTGTTGAGACGTAAGAATCTGAATAGATATCACTATTTACTAGGTTTGCAATGTGGTACAAAGTAAAAGGTCCATTCTTGAAAGATCTGTGAAAAGAAAACAGTTAGACTGTAAAAGTGTGAGGATATAATTTCCAACTAGATTGAGGCTTAAGAAATGGCTCACCTTCTCAAAATCAATTTACAAGAGTGGAATAATTTTGTTCATTGGGATAACATCTCTCAACATGAAGAAACCGTAAAACCAAAAAATGGTTTCTATTTGTTACCTAAATATAACTTCCTCCCTGCTTCTCGTGACATTTGCATACAGCAGCCTCACAAATTATACACATTTTCTGGTATGCGTTTTGCCCTAGTTTTTGAAAGTTGTAATATGTCTTCTGTCTTTCTGCGGCCAGGGAGAACGTAGAGGTTCCTTGGCATTTATACGCTCTCCAAGTACAGACAACATGGTAAATGTGGATTTCAGCACCCCACTCCCAAGTACTGTGGAAAGCTCTGTCTCTTATTTACTGTAAGTAATGTGGACTGATTGTGTGTGTATGTGGTGAGGTTGTATGTTTGTGCTATACATGAGGAAATGGAAACAGTGTTATAAATTTTGGAAAATGCAAATTACAGGGGCTTCATTCATACTTTTTAGAACTTCTATTTTTGCATTTTACACATTAACAAGTTTTTGCAGTAAAGGCTGGTAAGATGAAGCAGACATCCATTTTAGAGTTGTTTCATGTGCCTCTTGTTCACCAACTGCTACATACAGGCCAAGACGTCATTTCTCTATCTGGTCTAGAAAAGGTCAGAAGAGAGGCAAGGAAAAAAACTGCTTCTTCCTTGACTTTCAGGATTCTTTCATCGAACAGACTGTTTGTCATGTAAATGGAGAAATTAATGATACACCCACCTGAAAGACAAAAGACAATAATCTTTTCACATTTCTCTTTAGTTATTTGCTTACTAATTTTCGTTTGGCAGACTTCGACTTTTCCTTTTTTTTTTTCTTTTAAACTTTGTTTTCATTTCTCCTTCCTGTTGCCCATTTTCATGTTTTATCTTCTTCTTCAGCAGTTACTGATTTTTAAAATTGTTTTTTGTATATTTTATTCTTCTTCAGGAGAGAAAAAGCTGGACCAGTTTGCCTTGACATGCAAGCTTTGGAGCAGAGAAGGAAAAGTATCCGAGACACAGAAGACACAGTTGCTCATCACACCCTACAACAATACCTGTATAAACCCAGGCAGGAGGTGAGAGCAGAAGGCTGGCATTGGACTGTTTTCCAGTCTAAAATTAGGAGGCATTAGGAACCAAAACTTGGGGGTGAAACTCAAAAGGAAAGAACCCAACTGCAAAATCTCCACTCTTGAGAAAGATAGGCTCTTTGTCTATATTCTTCCTCATTTATGAACATGCCTTATTAACAGAACTTGTGCCTTTGATTTCACTGGGACCTGGGAAAGGCTGGTTCTGAAGCAGGATTAAATGGAGTGTATCAACTGCAGTGATTCATTCACTTACAGGAAAAGGCTTAGTTTGAATGACAGTCACTCTTATGTACTTAAAATTCCTGTACTTATACTTACTTCATAGTGAAGAAAAAGAGAAACAGGAGTTGCATTAATGCCTTCAGACTAATCTTTCATTCTTTTTTATAGAGTTGTTTACATTTGCATGACACTGATTGAATGCATTGATTCAGGGCTTCCAGTTATATCTGTAAATAAATTAATATTGTCTTCCCTTCCTGGCCACAGCACAAACACCTGTACAGTCGACATGAGATCATGCACAATGAAGATGAGAAACAAGACAAGGAGATTTTCCACAGGACAATGAGGAAGCGCCTAGAATCTTTCAAGAGTACCAAACTAGGGATAAACCATCCCAAGAAGCTCAATAAAATCCACAAGCGAGATCGGGGCCAAAAAAGGGTAAAACACTTGCATGAGGACCCAGACGCAGTCACCTATTATACAGACTAAGGAGTGGGGAGGATAGGGAGGGTTCTGACGGGTCCAATGTCCTGCATTTATCTCTGTCCTATAGAACTTCGTGAACTTAAAGGGCCTAAACAATAAGAGATTAAACAATCAGATAACTCAAGGGGAATCTTCTCACATGCTTTTTTTCTCTATGCTTTGAGATCCTTCTGAGTGACAGATTTTTTGATCACTTGGAAAAAAACAGACCTTGAGCCATGCTACAACACTGTGGAGAGATGTTGCAGGGTAGACACAGCAGGGTAACACTATAGCATAAAGCATTCCACAAAATTGGCATGAAACTAAGACAGAACATACTGCATACAAAGAGCCTAAGTTCCTTTCTTTTCCTGCAGTGAGTATAAATGTAGGGGGAAACTAATGACATCCATATTGAGCCACAAGCAAAGAGTACAACAGATTTCAGGGTTCTGCTGATGAATTTGTGATTTCAAAGGATGTCACTGCCATTGCTATCTAATGACAGTAGTGATTTTGGTAACTTTGTTTTCTTTCAGCGAAACAGCAGTGTCATACCAAATGGAAAAATACCTTCAGAAAACCCAGTACAAGATTTTACTTTGAAGGAAAAAGGTAAAAAGAACTCATAGACCAGTTTAATTAACTACATTTTAGCAGCTACATTGTCAGTGAAGCATTACTGAAAAATTTCATTATATGCAACAATGAAGATGGTATTAAAAAGGGACTTCTAGTCATAATTCATAACTTAGAGTGGGAATCTTCTCCGTGCTTAAATGCAGTGTCTTGGTGATTTAGAAATTGTTTTATCCTAGGCAACTGGATGACAAACCAAATTTTAAAAAACCTTCTTACTTACATTTCTAAAATACCACATTTAAATTTTGAAAACAAAAAAATGCAGTGGCTACAATGGAGATTAACTTTCCACTTCCTTTTAGATAAGCTGCCCAGAGCAACTTTTGCTAACATATTTTCAAGTCACTGCTCAGAACAGTAGTTGAGATGACATTCTGATCTGAGTTAAGGTCCATTTGTTTAGAAAGGTCTGAATCAGAGCTGACACTAAGAAGCACCTTAGAACTCAAGGAGAGTGTAGCTTTGAAAGGAACACGTAGTCAGAGGCCAGCTTCAGCACTAATTCACCCTTCACGCACAAATCTGACACACAGGTCAGCCTTCAAAGTGTAATCTGAAGCTGACTGGCCTAGGGAGTATTGATAGCAAAAGCTGGTTTTGCGCATAAAGCAAATTCTTTCGTCTCATGTTTTAGCTGTCTTTTGAGTCAGTCATAGCAAGACATGATGGACACTAATATGCTTGTTCACAGAATCACAGAATATTAGGAGTTAGAAGTTGAAAGATCATCTGTCCAACCCCCTTGAGAGATCATCCAGTCCGACCTCCCTTCAGGATCACCTAGACTAGATTACACAGGAACGCGTCCAGGCGGGTT